TGGGGGCAATATGCTGACTCTGTAAACCGCTTAGAGAGGGCTGAAAGCCCTATGAAGCGGTATATAAGTCTAACTGCTATTGCTATTGCTAACTGTATGGCTTTTACCCGTGAACCCAGAACATGGGGCTAAATAAACCATGGTTAAGTATCCTGGACAAATCTTAGTCTGGTTTGCTTCACACACACACACACACACTGCCGCTGCTGCATTTATGCCTGGAGTCGTTTTACAGTTTTCATATAGTATAGCCTTTATTGTCATTATACATCATGTATACAATGAAATTGGTTTTAGCCTCACTGGTGCAATCCGTGAACAACATATACAAACAACATAAATAGTATAAGGAATAATCCCTACGCAAGTAATTAGAGGGAAAAGAAAAGAACTAGAATGCATTTCTACGTCTCTGTGGAGTGATTGTGTTTAAGAGTATGACAGCCCAAGGATAGAAACTATTAATCTTTTAAGGGGCACTCTGGATGTTTTTACAGATCTTTTTCCATGCTGATCCCCATTTTTATTTCCTAATGGTGAGGTGACTTGTACATTGCCAAGAACTAAGCTGAGAATGTCAGGGATGAAGCTTTAATTACAAACCATGATGGCCGGTTTCTGACCAAGCCTAGGTCAGTGGAAACTTTGACTTGGAATGTCCCTCATCCCACTTAAAAAGGACTCGCCCGCAGCTTTTGGTTCCATGGGTTTTCTATTTATCAATATATACTGTACAAAAAATTAAAATGGACACTTTCGTAGAACGTTTATTTACTGAATCTGGTATAAATAGAAATGTTAAACCCGTAAGATATCAACATCAATGCCTGTGTCTTAAGACTCATGTATGAATCAGGATTTCTTGTATTTGTAAATTCTGCACCTTAGCTATGAATGTCAGAGCATTTTTCTGAATTTTCTTTTACATTGGTGTTTTAATACATATTCCTTCATTTTCACTGCATCTTAAGTTTTAATTGGTGTTTCATTTTCATTGCATCTTAATCTTATTCGTACAAGAGAAGATGTGGAATAGAAGAGACACGTTAAGGCCACCAAGCCCACTCCCAATTCAATGAAAGAATCCAAAAATGGCAAGCGAAAAATGGCCAAAGTCGGAATACAAAGAGTATAGCAAAAAGAAGCTCACAGTATCACTTCCTCTAGAGCAGTGTTTCTCAACCTTGGCAACTTGAAGATGTCTGGACCTCAACTCCCAGAATTCCCCAGCCAGCGGAACGCTGGAGGATTCTGGGAGTTGAAGTCCACAGGACTTAAAAATCACCAAGGTTGAGAAACACTGGTCTAGAGGAAGTGATACTGTGAGCTTCTTTTTGCTATACTCTTTGTATTCCGACTTTGGCCATTTTTCGCTTGCCATTTTTGGATTCTTTCATTGAATTGGGAGTGGGCTTGGTGGCCTTA